AATGAATTTCACAGGGAGGAAGCTGCTGAGGTATTGCAGATACACAGCCAGGCTGGGGGTTGCTGGTATGGAGCAAGACCAGGGTGAAACAGGTATCATTAGTTCTTTCAGCATTTGTAAAGCTCAGAGCTCTCACCCCTCTGCAGCTGGCTGGGGCTGGGGCTGGGCTGGACCCTCAAAAGACTTTTGGCTTTCCCCACAGAATCCCATTAGACCCCAAGGAAGAGGCAAGAGGGCTCTTGCCATGCACCCAGGAATACATCCTGGGACCCACTGATGGTCCCTGGCAGGCCTGTGGGCAGAATCAGTGACAGCATCCAGACCGTTCCCTAGGAGTAGGTTAAGTAGCCCTTTGGGAAAGGATGAGGTCATTCTTAAAAGATACATGTTGGGCTCCCAGGATTTGCTTTGAATATTTCGTTTTGTTTAATTTGCTTTATTAGTTTGCCTATAAAGCGTTTGTAGGTTTGAACTATTCCCTGTTAAATGAATACTAAAACCCCAGTGCAAGTGGGGGAGGATGTGACTTACTGGAGAAAGCTTACCTAGCATTCTCAAGCCTCAGTGGGGGTGTGGCTCTGTGGGGAAAGCTTGTCCAGTGTACTCAAGGTCCCAGGTTCCATCCTCAGCACAAACAAGCAAAACATAGTCCACTAGATAACTAGAATGAAAACTACAAAACACAAGTGTTGGCACGGATACATCCAGGACCTTTACATTCTACTGATGGGCATACAAATTGTTCCAGGCACTTTAGAAAGCACATCATGGTAACTATCAAACCAAATATCACCTATACCATGGTCCAGAGTTCCACTGCCTGCTTTATACCCAGTAGAGATGCATACAGACTTGTTCATAGCAACATTCTCTATAACCCAAGACAGGAGACAAATGCCCATCTACAGCACAATGGAGAGTTGTGTTGTAGTCACGTGGGCCAGTACTCAGCAGTGATAGTGATTGAACCCGCCTAGCATATGACACAGACATAACACAGATGGACCTCAGCATGGTCACACCATGCTGAGTGACAAGTTCATTTCCATAAAACCCCAGACCAGACAGGGTAATATTACTGTCAGGGTAAGGTCACCCTGTGGGTGGGCTCTGGGCATGATGGCACATACTTGTGGTCCTGGCACTTGAGAGACAGAGGCAGGAGGATTGTTATGAGTTTCAGGCCAGCCTGGGCTACAGAATAAGACTTTTGTCTCCAAAACACCAAAATTAATCCATCAAGCAAGAAATAAATCATTAAGGAAGATTATTTTCTTTTAAGTAAAAAGCATCCAAAAATACAAACATCACCAGGTGGCCAGTCATGAGCAAAAGCTGCCCTGCCTTGCTAAGGGCACCCTGTACATCCAGCCTGCACCCCGAACCCCCTGACCACTGTACCTCCCTCCCCTCAGGGCGCTACGTCTTGTCCTTTGTCGGCTGCGGTTTGGCCATCGTGGGCACCTATCTGCTGGTGACATTTGCGCCCAATAGTCATGAGAAGATGACAGGCGAGAACATTGCCAGGCATCTCGTGAGCTGGCCGTTTCTCCTGTACATGGTAAGCGATGGTGCTCTCCTTCTGCCTGGGAGAGTAGGGGTGGTCGAGTCCTAGACACTGGACTTCAGGGCCCAGCAGTTGGAATCACCGAGCTTTCGAACACACTGGTCCCATGTCTTTCCTGAGCACCATCCACATCCATCCAGAGTACACTGCCAGCCCTGGGTCTATGGAGGCCTGTGGAGGTTTCATGGATTGAAGGGCTGATGGCGAAACTGAAATTCCAGGCAGTTGTCTCTGGAATGGAATTATGAGTCAGACTCATAGCATCATTTCTGTGTCCAAAATTTTGACAGTAACCATCTAATTTTATTTTTCTTTTTTGTAGTACTAAGGATGAAACTTAGGGCCTCACTCACGTTAAGCAAGTTTTCCCACGGAACCATATCCCCAGCTCTCTTTTTACTTTTAAATTTTTGAGATGGGGTCTCATTAAGTTGTCTAGGCTGGCCCTGAACTCACTATATAGCCTGGGCTGGCCTTGAAATCTCACTCATCGTGCCTCAGCCTCCTGAGTAGCTGGGATGACAACTATTTAAAGTTTTTATGATGGAAG